GCGAGACTCAAGTAGAAACCGTTTGAGCCTGATAGCAGCATGGCTGGTATATAATCTCTGAGGTATTAGATAAATGAGGGACTATAGGTACACGGTAACTAAGGATAGATATGTCCAAAGGATTGGATTTCCTTGTATTGTTTGGGGACTACAACGTAGTGGCATAGTATGTCCATAGTCGATGAGTCAAGCGAATTATTATGGAGATAATAATTCACTAAGTCAGAAGGAGTTTCGATAGATATGACTCATAGCCAACTCAATATTGAGCCTAGAGGATCACACACATATTGTAGGTTTTGCGATGAATAGAGGTTCAGATATGAGATATTCGTTGGAGTCTCTATCTTATTGGATATCCAATAAGCTCCTGAAATATTAGATCTTATAAATGAGATCTAATAAGAGCTAAAGAGAGATTATTAGGTAGAGACCCACTAATCTAAGAAGTTTAGGTAGTTGAATGGAGATCTAGTACCCAATAAGGTAAGATCCATTAGGGTTAAGTTGATAGGGGGCCTCTATAAATAAGAAGAAACCAAAGGGCCATAAATCAAGCCTTATTTGCTACCCCCTTCTATTCTCCTCTTCCCTTCTCATCCTTAGCGAGTAGGTATGAAGATTTGGGCAGCGATTCGATGAGCGTCTTCATAGTCCCTGTCGTGTGAATCACTACTAGAGATGAGGACAATTGACCTCCTTCATCATCTCCCATAAATATGCAGGATTTTAGGGATATACGATCTCTCTAGGTAACATAACTATCTTCCACGTGATTTTCAATTTTTTGGGTTTCTTACACACCAATCTTCACACGACGATTTAGGCAGCGATTCGATGAGCGTCTTCATAGTCCCTGTCGTGTGAATCACTACTAGAGATGAGGACAATTGACCTCCTTCATCATCTCCCATAAATATGCAGGATTTTAGGGATATACAATCTCTCTAGGTAACATAACTATCTTACACGTGATTTTCAATTTTTTGTGTTTCTTACACACCAATCTTCACACGACGATGAAACCTTTTTGTGAAAATCTGAGATTTTTATTTTTGTTCTTTCGTTGCGCATGTGATGTGATGTCACCCCAAATTTTCCTATAGTGGTATCAGATCTAGGTTATTTGTGCATAAGATTAGTTTTGAACTACGTGTGTTGTGTTTTAAAGAGGATTTTGATGTCAAAATTATTGACGCAAAAAGTAAGAAAGGGCAACAATTGTTGTTGCCATCTGTATGCAGGCGCTTATGGCTGGTGCCCGCAAGCAGGCAAGATAACGTCGCAGCAACGCTCGCTCGCAAATTGGGTGTCGCTCACGGGCGAACCGCCTACGAGGTGCTGGGCTCGCCCGTAACGATCGCCCGCAATGGCGCCCACAAGGGCGACGACCCTGCCCCCCACAAAGGCGGTCACCGACAAGGTGGCAACGGCCGCAATGCAATAGCATGGAAGGGCATTATGGTTTTTTTGGGCAAAAGGATAATTTTACCCTTGTGAATTTTAGAAATTTCATATTTTATCCTTTCTATCCAAATTACCTAAATACCCTTCATAATTTAAAATTTTCTTAAATGTCTCAAATTTCAAAAAAAATATTAGTTAATTAAAAGATTTAATTAACTATTATTATTTGTCTAGTAGTCCTATATAATGATATGTACATGTGATGTATGATATGGATGGATGATCATGGACCGTGTGATGTGATTATTATTATTATTATTATTATTATTATTATTATTATTATTATTATTATTATTATTATTATTATTATTATTATTATTATTATTATTATTATTGAGCCCTGCGAGTCTCTATTTTTTCTCGTTTATTGTCAGGTCTGTGTGCCCAAGATTATATTGTAATTACACGAGGAGGCGTAACGGGAGCATGTAGACGATAGCGAGACCCACAAGGTTGAGATGGACGATTGCAACGCATAGAGATGCGCCGAGATGCCAACGTAGCCGACGATGATGAGATGGATGATCATAAGGCATGGAGATGCACTAGTGCACAGTTGACCGTAGTGGCCGCCACCCTCGAGGAGCGTCTTCGTAGCTCTTGTCGTGTGGATTACCGCTAGAGAAAATGACAGTTGACATCCTTCATCCTCTCCCATTGATCTGTCGGATTTTGAGGATATATAATCTCCCTAGGTAACACAACTATCTCACACGTGGTTTTTAGTTTCGTGGGTTTTTGCACACTAATCTTCGCACAATGATAAAATCTTTTTATGAAAATCTAAGATTTTTGTTTCTGTTCTTCTACTGCACATGTGATGTTGCCCCTAGATTTCCCTATAAGAAGAAGTATGGAGCTTGTAAAAACAAGAGTTGATCATTTAAGAATTTTTAGAAGTATTACATTTGCCAAGATACTAGAAGAAAAGAGACCAACTAGAGGATAAAAGTCAAAAATGTATTTTGCTAGGTTATGCAGAGAATTTCAATGGCTATAAACTCTACAATCCTATCACAAATAAAGTTGTGATGTCAAGAGATATTGAGTTTGATAAACAACAGATTTGAAACTGGAAAAGTGATGAGCAACATAAGAAAGCTATAGTTTCTGAAGATGATGATATAATATAAGCAAACACCGAAGTGGCTTTGTCGGAATCATCACCTAGATCAACTAGAACATATGATTCAAGAAGTTTGATTATAAGAATGATAAGACTGATTCAAGAGCTATATGATGTGACTCGAACGATTGATACTAGCAATGATGAACATTCTTTATTTTATCTTTTTGCGAGATATGATCCATTAATCTTCGAAGAAGCTTGTAGAGAAGAAAAACAATGACAAGCTATTAATGAGGAGATTCATGCTATTAACAAAAATGATATATGGGAGCTTACTACACTTTTAGAAAACCACCAAGCTATCAGTATTAAGTGGATCTTTAAAACAAAAAGAAATACAAAGGCGAGATGGAGAAATACAAGGCCCAATTGGTTGCAAAGGGATACAGACAATAATATGAGATCTACTATAAAGAAGTATTTGCACTAGTTGCTCGATTGAAGACAAGATTATTTATCTTCCTAGCAACTTAGATGAAATAAAAAAAAATTACAAATGAATGTCAAATCAATATTTCTTAATAGAGTTTTTGAAGAAGAGGTATATATTCGAAAATATTTCTTAAAAGAAAATAATTTATTTTGAATATAATTAATATAATATATTTTTGTGGACTAAATAAACCCTATATGTTGTATGAAATATATAAAGTTTTAAAGTTGTAAAGTGTTTTTGAGAGAAATATAAAAAAATTAATTTTATCCTTAAATAATTCTTACAACTAACATGCCTTACTGGTCTACCATTGGTATCGGTGCGAGAGTTTTTTTGCCATGCCATGCCATGGGTGATGGGACAAGTATCACTAGGAATTAAAGAACATGCTGTTCTACTTATCGACTGTGCCTTGAATTAGATGTCCATGCTGTCAGGAAAAAGAATGGTATAAAAAGAGCCCCAAGTCAGTGTCCGAGTGATTCCATGACACCGCTGAATTGGTCATATTCTGATCCACAAATCTCTCTTTGATGTTTGTCCTCCGCAGTCATGTTGAAAACTCTGCAAGACCAAAGGAAGCTTCATGGGAATAACATCCACAGAAAATGACGACTCAAAGAAAAGAAAGGTAAGGCAATGGTTCCTCCAACGATTTGGGAATCGATTCCTGTCCTCGGTTTTGACGTGGAAAATAAACAAGCTCCATCAAGCACATCAACACGAACAAATATGTTTCTTTAATTTTTATCGGATGCAGATAATCTTTTTTATTTCCTTTTTTACCGTGTTTTATGACATGACGTTGATGATTTGAGCATCGGAGGGAAAAAATCTCATATTGCTTTTCGTCGGAGAAGGGACAAAATTAGACTTCCTTCTTAGTGAGATGATCAAAACCAACCTCATCAAAGCACTCATTGGAATGGTCTTATATGTCCTACAAGGATCTGACCTTGAGCTTTCACCAAACTCTCATGACCCTGCAGATTTCCAGACGCTACATTCTTATGTTCTTTCGGTGTGCATGACCAAAGAAGAAGAGATGTCAAACTTGCCCTGCAGATTGCCATACGCTACGTTCTCATGTTCTTTCAGTGTGCGCGACCAAAGAAGAAGAGATGTCAAACTTGCCACTTGATAATCTTGCAGCCTGCTATCACAGAATGAGGCTTTCAGTATTCCTTCACAGAAGCTCCTTGGAAACATCATGTGAGGCATTCAGCAGGAATTCTTGCTTGTGGTTGATGACCAAATCTCAAGAAAACAAAAAAAGTTGATTACTCTGTTTATGGCCAAAAACACATTGGCCTAAAGATGATTTAGCTTCATCAAAAGAAATAAGCAGACCTTTTCTGTATGTATATTGGAGATGAAAGTTAGCAACATGCAATTTGTTTGATAGACCCATCATCTTAATTAAGTGAACACAAAGATAAGACAATGCATGTAATTGTCAAGAAAAATAAGAAGTAAGATTGCTTTTATCATGACCTTAACCAGCTTTGACCATGACCAGCATGTGATCAATGTGATGGCAGGCATTGCTGGATTCCTTTCCAGTATCCATAACGCTTGAACATCTTATATTAGAAGAGTACCAAAATTAAGATTGCCATGGCAAAGACACAGATTATGGCATCATTCTCTCCATAACACATGGAGGAAGGAAGCCTTGTCTTTAAAAATGTTAATGGTGATGGAAACTGGGAGTTCTACTCCTAACATGAATCCTTTCAACAAAAGCAGAGGAAGAGAAGTCTTTGGACAGCCATGTTAACATAAATTTCATTATGGGATAATTCTCACTTCCTCTTCTGCCTACAAAAACAAGTTGAAGTGACAGAGATGTTTGATACAAGATCTGAGTTGAGCTAAGGCAGGTGTTGTGTCATGAAGTGCAACTCTGTTTTGTACAAACTTGAAACTTTACAGGATTGGGAGCTGATGAGTTGCATCAGGGGGAAGTAAGATCTCAAAATCTCTTACTATCACAAACGTAGCCAAGTAAAAAGGAGGTTCTTATTACTTGGACAACTGGAAGAACAAAACAAGAAACAAATTTGATGAACAGGGGAGAGATTTCCCACAGAAAAAACACAAGACAGATGCTTAACACTGAGCATGGATTGGCGCAACCTCTGATGTTGTGAGAAGCTGTTCCAAGTACTCTGCTCCTAAGTCCTCTAGCTCCAACACGCTCTCCGCGCTACGAATGCTCGTCTCGCTCTGCTTTGCCTTCTTGCCCATCGACTTCCTCCTCATGGAGTGCTTCCTCTTCAGCACCACCACCGGCGACACCCCCTCCTCCTCCTGTTCATCCCAGCATTTCATGCCGTTCAGCGACTCCCGCACCCGGTCCACCGGGAAATTGAGCACCGCCGTCGAGCCCCGCATCGAGAAGGCGGCCTGGTCGTACGCCAGCGCCGCGGCCTCCGCGCTGTCGAACGTTCCCAGCCACACCCGTATGCCGTGCCGCGTCGAGTCCCGGATCTCCGCCGCGAACTTCCCCCACGGCCGCTTTCTCACCCCCCGGTACGACTTCACCTTGGGATCGTCCGCCACCTTGCTCTGCGAATCCACCTCTTCCTCCTTGGGCTGGGCTGGGCTGCGCTCGCAGGCCTCTAACGAGGACGACGCCTTACCGGAGGCCTCCGCGAGCATTCCGAGGAGGAGCATCTCCTCGGAGTCGTTCATGTCGAACGGGACAGGAACGTCCGGGTAGAACAGCCCGACGCCGGTCCAGGGGAAGGGGTCGCCGGAGCCAGTGGAAGATTCCGGCGAGTGTAGCGACTGGAAGAGGGAGTAGTCCATGGGGGGGAGAAAGGAAGGGATGAGGAGAGAGAGAAATCAGGGTGTCTCCCACCTCCTTGTTCGTGCTCGAGCTCGTCCAGTCGACAGGATCTAAGCCCGCTCCTTCTTATACTTGAACGAGAGAGGGGGAATCGATGGATAGATTGACTGGGGCCACCTGGGAGTTGCGGGTGGCGGGAAAAGGTTCGTGCCGGGCCAAAGGAGCACGTGGGTCAGCCACGCACGGCGGCAGAGGTCGGGTGAAGTATCCGTGAGACGAGCACGGTGACATCATTGGTGGCCACTTCGTGGCTCCATGTCCCGTGTTGAAGCCATCGCTGCAGGGTGACAGTTTTTGGTGGGAGATCTCTTGTGCTGTCCTCTTGTATTTGCAGCCACCACACACACACGCTCTCTCTCTCTCTCTCTCTCTCTCTCTCAGAGCTGGGTTAGAGTGCTGCATTGGTGACCTGTGCAAACTCTAGTGTGAAAGTGAAAGAGCTGAGGAAGGCAAGGTATGGCTTCTATCATCAAGGAGAATTAATCAAAAGCATTTTTGTTTGAGTTATTGGGATTTCACCCCTTGCAAGTATCAATCCATGAAGGTGGGCTACAACTTCTTCCTACCTATGAATGCAATAACCCCCATAGTCTTCATGGCATCCAGATCCTGGTTTCTCAGGCTCTGTGCTGCTATGGACAAGTGTCCATCCGCAGTACTTTTAGATTGGTGGAATAGAAACGAGGTTCTTGCAATGTGCACGAGATGATGCACTGGCAGAAGAAGTCCACATACAGATCCCCTTGAATTAGCAGGCAGTAAGAGTGGAAATATTCCCCAGTATAAAGACTGCTGCCCCTGTTATCCTGTGGCATTCTTGACCTCCCTTTGCTTTATGTTTATTTACCTGACAGCAATGACAGTAATAGATTACATAAGTCAGGATGAAATATTAAGTCTGGCCAAGTAGCCTGTCATGAAGCCATAAAATATTTTGTTGAATCTATTAGTGGTGTGGGGAAGAACAGCTTCATTTCAAATGGCCAAGTAACATGGATCATGAGGCCATAAAACTCCAGGTTGATGTCCTTAACACTTTTTCAGTGAAGTGAGTGGCTGAATCAAGTGGTGTTTGAAGATGTCAGATTGATCTCATCTTGAGTGCAATGACTGATGAAAGCCAACAACAGAAGGTGAAGTACATAGCGGCATCACAAGATCTCCATGGTTTACTGCCTTGCAGTCTCTAATCAGAATGTCCACTGAGCTGATTGCAGGGAAGAGACTTGTGTATTAGGGACTCTTCAAACAAGCTTGGTGTTTGGGGACCGCAATCATCAGACTACATTCCCAGTTCAATGAATCGAAGTTCGTAGGCTCATCATTGTACACCTCTAGCTTAAAAGAGACCTACCATACTTGGAACAACATCTGATCATGCCAGGGAGCTGCCTTGGCTCCTCAAAGATCATGGCAAATAAGCCAACGAGGTCTCGTAGATGAGGTGAACCATCCACAGATCTGTGATGTCCCTTTGCATGTCTCTTTTCTCAGCTGGTGGTGCTTTGAACACAATGGTTCAGTGTTAGGCAGCATGCATCCCCCTGCTTTGATGTGCACCAGATGCAGAGAACAAGGACATGCTTCCATGGCCCCTCATCGTCTATGGCCCACTGGCCTTCTAATCCTTTCGATGGCGAAGGTGAAGTCACAAGGATTTCACATTAGTAAGGAGGGAATTGAAAGCGTTCAAGTCAAAGCATACAAGGAGACTGCTAGTAGGGTTCATAGTTTCTCTCGTCTTGTAGCATGCAGTACCTCATCAAGATGATGCAAACAAGTGGCCTACAAGTTCCAGGAAAGATCATCTTTTAGTCTTCCTCTTGAAATGTTTGCTGAATCATCGATTCAACGACGAATTCTTCCATCGAAGAAGGTTTCGCTGATAATGAGGAAGCATTAATAGGCTTCACGATTTGAACTGCAAAGCCTAACTTGAATTCAGGAATCAGAGTCATACAGCTCGAGAAGCAAAGCTCCTTCCACCTCAGAGCAAAGCAAACGGGTGAAGGGAAACATAAATTGTTCATCAGTCATGAGTGGCTGATGGATGAACAGCTTTAATTCCTGTAAATAAATAATTGTAAGTTCAAGTTCACACTTATCAGGTTCATAACACACTGAGCTTTGGTGAAGTATGCAATGATGAGCTATCAGTCAAAGTTGTTCTAGGTTCATTTCCTCACAAGGGATTCCCCAGCAGCCATTAGAATGGCCTCCTTCGATGAAGGTGGATGGATGCGACCTACATATTCCACACAACCATTCCGATAGAACGAAGCTGCAAACTTGGTATTATAAGGCACCACTTGGGACTCCAAAGTTTCATAAAAAACCGAAAAGATACCATAAATCTTTAATATAGATTTGACACGAGTCACGAAAACAACCTCCATCAAAGATTCTCATGTAACATCGATGCACTACATTAGCTCCTGTTCCTTGCTCTCTGAGGTTACAGCCTAAATAGAAGTCAAATGTTATGCGCTTCTCCACCAAGCAATGGATTTGTCTTCTCTGACATTTTATCGGTTGGTAGGATCAAAACCATCCATGAATCATTTACATTGTGACAACCCTGTGTAAGATAATATATGTACTTGCATGTCACTCGTCGAAATGTTATCTTTTAGACTAAATCATCCACTTGATACATTGATTCAAGTTCAGTGCATCTGCCCAATCCTGGTGACATCACAAGTTCCCCAGTGTGACCTGTAAGGCGTCAGCCTCAACACTAGTAGACAAAATGGGTGCATAAAACTATTGAAGGGCAGCATCCAACTGCAGGAATGGATGCTTCCAGGATAAGAGGCACGCGAGAAGGCCATGGAGTCGGAGTCGCCGGGAACGTGAGACATGTGAGAGAGGAGGAGGAAATGGATAGAGGAAACGTGCAGTTTGGTTGAGTTGCTTATGGTCTACTTTCGTTCCTTATCTTGCATGTCCACCTGCCATGGGAAGGTGCATGAATCTGAGAGACTTTTTGTGCTTGTTTATTGCCCTTGGAGTTTTGCAGGGATGAAGTGGAAGCTGTGCACTCCCAGGCGAGTGTGCGGAATTCTTTATGATTATTGAAGCATGCAGCTTTGATTGACAAGCGTTTGATGGGGCAGAGTGTTGGAACCTCTGACTCTTCCTTGCAGATTTATCGGTTCTCCTTTTCTTGTTGAGGATACTAAAATAACACCGTATGTGCTGATGGGCTGAATTGGAGATGGAGTTGGATTTCAAATGGACTGTGTCTTTCTTTTCCTAGAGAGAGTTCGGCCCTTCCGTGGCTATGCAACAACCCAAGATTGAGCTTCATTTTTATTAATTTAGGTAATTAAATTTCTCAGGTTTGGTATAAACTTTGGTCTTTCCATAGTGATTTCATTATAATATTGCAAGATTCTCATGGGTCGATATAGTCCAAAATCAAATCATATCATTCGTTTGTCTAAATCATCAATCCAAAATTATTAAAATAATAGAAGATAAGAACAAATTAGGAGGAAGGATTTCCCTTAACAAAATAGAGAATTTTCCTCAACAGAATAGAGAGATTTCCTTATATAGTTGAGGAAATCTTATCTTCTATCACAAAAAACTCGTCTACTTCTTATAAATTCATTCGATACGACCCGAGGATGGTATTACAGTAAATATTCTTGTAAAAGTAAGTAAAAATATTGTTTATATATTTTTCAAGATAAAATTATTATATAAAAATTATAATTATGAGTAAGAGAGATTTAATTGATTCACTTCATAAGTTTGAATTATTGGTATAAAATATTTAAATATAAATTAATTATTGTCTTTGATGTGAGGCTAAACCGATGTATGACCACATTCAATATCAACAACATCGTTTGTTGTTGACGTCACATGGATATTTGTGTTGACTAAAATAAAGCATTTTATTGACTATGCTTGTGATATATCCGGAGTTATACTTTTGACTATGTAACAATGACAATAATTTGCTTGTCGATCACATATTAGTCGTGTTAGTCGAATCCTACAGAAAACGTAGCACGAGTTCACGTGATCCGTTCCCAGGACAAACACGAACTCTTTTGTCATTTGACCGAGCTTTTCCTGTACCTGAGAGGGGTGTGGGAGGTAGACGAGACGCTCCTCACCCTTGCTGTCACTCGACCTCTACCTACAGCAAAGCAGGTTGTGATCCCCGAAATCTATCTCGAAGAGCAAACAAAAGCCAAACATGATGAGACCATGATGGAAAAGGGATCTCGTCGACTATGACCCTTGCGAATCTCACGCTCCCACCAGGTGTTCGACGGAGAGTCGCAGAAACAACCAAGAACAATTCTCTTTATGTAGGGAGGGGGATTTCCTCTTGAGGTCCTCTCCTGTTATTGATGGAGGCCGGTTGCTTCGAAGGACGTACGCCTCGACACAGAAACCAGGGTCTACTCTCGGGTCTACTACGCGCTTCGACACCGAAACCATGGCTTCCTCGTCTTCTGCGCCTCGGGGCTAAAAGCTTCGACAGAAGCTGTCGATGACTGCTGGTGTCAGCTGATGTGCTGCAAGCTTTGCGAACCCCTCTCGCTCCTTGCTCGATGTATTGTCGCCATTGTGAAGCTAAACCATCACTCTTGCTTCTCTGCCTGCAGCCCTTTCCCATCCATGTCTTCCCATGTATTCCCAACTTGTCTTTTCCTCTCAGTAGACCTTGGTTGACCCACCTTGATTCTTGATCCCTCTCTCTCTCCTCTGAGTTGGCCGCCTTATTTATCTTGAGAACAAGCGTAGTGCAGTCGGCTCCATTTCTTCATTCTTCGTCTCAAGACCTCTTCCAAGCGTATCTCCTTGTATCTATCGCTGTTCTCGTCTTCGGCTCTCTTGTGACAGTCACCTGTAATGGATGCAACCGTTGAGCATCTTGAGCAACCTCCACCACCTCCACACTCCTCCTCTACCTTTATAACCAGCTTCCCGATCTTGGCCACCACCATCTTTGGCATGCTCACCACGGCCATCCTCCTCGTTAGCTACTACGTCTTCGTCATCAAGTGCAGCCCCAGCTGGCGCCGCTCCGACATCCTCCGCCGCGTTTTCTCTTCCACCCATTTCCGCCGCCATCGCCACCTCTACGTACCTCCCGTCGACCACGCCTTTACTGCTGGATTCCGTGGCCTCGATCCTTCTGTCATCCGCTCGATTCCTGTCGTCAAATTCACGAAAGCCAGAGACGACGACGCTGACACCGACCAGAGAATGTCCTTTCGAGATTGCGCGGTCTGTTTGAATGAGTTCCGAGAGGAGGAAAGGCTCAAGCTGATTCCCAACTGCTCTCATGCCTTCCACATCGACTGCATTGATACCTGGCTCCAGTTCAACGCGAAATGCCCGCTCTGCCGGTCGGATATCGCGAGTTCTCCCATCGGCTTGGCCATGGATCGCATCATAGTTCTCGCCCCTCGGACTGAGCAGAGTGGAGGCACGGTGATCGAGGTCGGCGATGAAGTTGGTGGCGGCCAGAGCTCGAGCGAGGAGGGTACTGATCCGTCGCCGAGGAAGAATTGGTGGAAGTATCACAAAGTGGGGAGCATGGGGGACGAATGCATTGATGTCAGGTCGAAGGATGAGCAGTTCTGCGTGCAGCCTATACGGAGGTCACTCTCCATGGACTCGTCTACTGATAGGCAGCTTTACCTTTCAGTCCAGGAGATCCTGAGACGAAAGCAACACTGCTGTTTTGAAGGAGGCAATGACGAAGGAAGCAGTAGCGACGTTTGGGGTGGAGACGGTGGCGAGACCGGACGATTTCGGCGGTCTTTCTTCTCGTTTGGCCGGAGCTCGAGAAGCTCCGTCCTTCCACTGCAGCGTCATGCGTGATGCATGAGATCTTGGCTGCTGCACTGCTGACAACGTCTCTCTCTGATCTCCTGCTTTGTAATGTGTTATTGAAGCCTGAAAGAGAGGGTCTGCAGTAGACTCTCATGCAAACGTAGGTGTTAGAGAAGCTCAAGAGAAATGTAGTGCTGCTTGCAGTGGGCATGATTAAGGCTATTAAAAGTTCCTTAAACTTCTTTTATCTTGCGAATTGGAGCTTGTAAACCTGCATGAGACAAGTGTCAGCACATGAAGACAAAATCCATGCAATTGCCATGTCAAGGAAGGGAACTTTCTTCAAACAAAAGTGAAGGGTTGCAGAGGAACAGTCTTCACCCACTCAAATTTATAGGCTTGTCAAACAAGTAGAAAGTTGGCAAGAAATCTACTTACTGTAACTTCACAACATACTTCCACGATTCTTACTATTTTCTTACACTAGCAATAGATCTACACAGGATTTGAATCATTGAATCCTTGTGATCTCTAACCATATGAATCATTGAATCCTTGCAACAGGAAAAGAATTGTGGAAGGTTGATCAGATGTATGTTTTCCTCTTTCTATTTTCCACCCACTGTTCTTGACCATACAGAGACCATCCTTCCCTTTGATCAGAACAGCTCTTCTTCTGTGTGCCATGAGCAGCCTCCCCCACATGTGCACATCACAGGGAACTGTGCCTACCTATGTGTTGTCTATTATAATTGCCTCAACACTGCGCGCATGCATGTGCCTCTGTTGATGTACTGGGAGTTGTCATGAATGCACTCATGACAGCCTAAAGATGCAAACTAACAGTGGAAGGTGTCCATGGTGCTTGGCCCCCCATCACTTGGGGAAAGCTCCTTTGTGGTTCCCCCATCTGCTGTGGAACTGCCACTGTAATCCAAGGAAAGCTATGGCATGCCACTAATGTTGTATGGTGCTGAATTGTGATGAGAGAGAGAGAGAGAGAGAGAGAGAGAGAGAGAGACTAGGATTGTGCACTCAGTAGGATACTTATTGCCATGGTGGTAAACATTCATTGGGACCAGAAAAGGTGAGGTAATGGAGAAATAACTGTACCTCACAATTCATGTTGCAGAGTAATTGAGAGGAATGGTTTGCAGACACCACAAGGACCAAACGCATACAGAGGAGATGGATAGCTAGATTGACAGACGGATAGATATAGATAGGGAGAGGCTGGTCCTCCACTAAGAACTCATTGGGTGCATCACAAACGATCGATGATGTTTCATGAGAAGGGAAAACTTACTGAGACTTGAGAAGAATGATCTGAGCCTGCCCAATTGAAGGAAAATGATGAGATAAAACAAAGATATGGTAGTGGTAAATCTCAATAAGGACAAAATACTTGAAGATATCCCTCTTCTTTGGTTTATACCTAATGATAATCTATTCTTCATTCAACTTGATTCATCTTGCAGAATTTTCTTGTTAGTCCTCAAAATCAAGACAACTGTATGAGACTAAACAATGAACATGAGATACTTGGGTTAAGGAATTGATGATGAGGTAAGGGAATGGTGCAAGAAGCCAATTGTTTCAGCTAAGGAGACTTGCTTTGGACAGTGGAAAGCAACATGGTAAGGCCAACTACAGGAAAACAAGCTGTGGGTAGATAGTGTCACACAAAGATTACATTTGCATTGGTCATTGGAAATTGCATAGAGAAGTACACTGCAAAAGGCACTCTCTGGGGAACACCAGCATCAACAGCAAGGACCTGCGGGCAAATGACACTGTTCAAACTTATGGGAGAGTCTGAGGCATATGACTACAATCTCAGTGCATTCACTCCCAAGGCATATGACAGAGAAGGCAGCTCATCCCTGAAAACTCACCTGCATGTTGCTGTGTCCATGAAGTCATTAACAGTTCTACACTTAACCCGTGCCCATCTCTCTCTTCATCCAAAAAACTTGGTATATGATGTGTATCATCAGCAAGAAGCTCATGTGGAGCTCATTGTTTAGTTTCTCTATCTACTAAATCCATCTCCCATTAGAAAAGTCCATAAAGTCATGAACAGCTCCATCTCTCTCTTCGTCATATATGTATAATCAGCAAGAAGCTCACGTAGAGCCCATCGCTTAGTGTCTCCATCTTCTAAATCCATCTCTCT